TCATATTTTCTTGTACGAGGATCTAATATACTCATAATAATTCATTCCATGTATTACTTTTTTCAGCTGCTCATTTTCTCCCCCTAATATTGGGATCACCAACACATATCCCCAACCTTCATTGAGACCAATCTTTGTGCATTGTGGTGGCACAATTAAATCATATAGTACATCCATATTTCTAGATGAAAATATTTGGTTCCTGACCCTGAACCAATTGTGATGGGGAGAATTTATCATAACTTGTTGGCTAGATGCGTACAAGTGCTGTTGTATATTAAATAATATACTTAATACAAAATTTCTATTTGGAGTTTTGTTCTCATAACCAATGGTTTAGCTATAATTGGAGGCATACAATTTCTGCTAAACCAACTTGGATTTAAACCAGAATTATCAAGATAAATTATCATAATATATATTCTGGAACTGTGCTCTAATAATTTGAGCAAACAACCTTGCAAAAACCAAAGTGCAAGTTGATAATAAACGCACATGTGACCATACAATAGATGCATCTATTAAAATCATATAATAGTAAACGATCCACATGGCAGGTGATTGGGCCCATACATATATATCACCTTTTATTCGTTCCAGATATCAAGGGATTCAATCCCAACCTAACTGGTATATCATGAGAAAAAAAACATCACAAGAGAATTCTTAAAGAATCTTCTATTTCTTTAATATATGCCAATGTGAATTCTCAATCAATTTTCACATCATAATTGAACCAGGATGGTCAACCAGTCATGCCAACTAATATTTGTTTCAATAAACCTCTAGTTTACTTATGGCATGTGATTCNATCTTCAGAAATAAAATTTGCTTCAGCATTTTTCTCTGTCTTCTTCAGGGAGGCTTGATAAAGCTCAACCAGGTGCTTTGGCATACGGCAGGTACGTGACCAGTGCCCTTTTCCTCCACATCTATAGCATGCACTTTCTGCATTTGGTGCTTGCACCGCTTCATGCTTTTGTTCCTTCCTTTTCCACTGCTGGTGGTGAGGAGGGTTCTTTGGTGCATTATTATTACCATGATTGGGATTTCTTCCCCGACCACGGCCATGACCACGACTGGGGCCACGACCTCTTCCACATTTAGCTTGGTGGAAGTTCGTCTCATTCACTTCAGGGAATGGACAAGAACCAGTAGGCCGACTTTCATGGTTTTTCATTAATAGCCCATTATGTTGCTCGACTATAAGAAGATGTGAGATAAGTTCAGAATACTTTTTAAATCCCATCTCTCGATATTGCTGCTGCAGGAGCATATTCGAGGCATGGAATGTGGTGAAAGTTTTCTCCAACATATCATGATCAGTAATATTATCACCACATAATTTCAATTGGGAAATAATTCTGAACATAGCAGAATTATACTCACTGATAGATTTAAAATCTTGTAGCCTTAGATGAGTCCAATCATATCGTGCCTGTGGAAGAACGACCATCTTCAGGTGGTCATATCTATCTTTCAAATTATTCCACAGTATGACTGGATCTTTAATAGTAAGATATTCCATTTTCAGGCCCTCGTCAAGGTGATGGCGTAGGAATATCATTGCTTTGGCACGGTCTTGGTTTGATGCCTGATTTTTATCCTTGATGGTATCTGCCAGACCCATCGCATCAAGATGAATTTCAGCATCAAGCACCCAAGACATGTAGCTTTTGCCCGATATATCCAGGGCTACAAATTCAAGTTTAGAAAGATTTGACATTATATAGAAAAAGAAAGTTCGTACCTCAGATACTTTCAAAGTATTTGCTCGAGATTGCAGAGTCTCGTGCTGATAACGTGTTATAAAACTAAGACTGTAATGTAAAGACATGTATAGAGAGAAACTGATATATTATTCGAATTCAAACTGATGTAAATAACGAACTGATATCTCTTCTATTTATAGAAGAAAGGAAGCTGCTGTGTAAGCTGCTACTGCAAGCTGCTGTGTAAGCTGCTACAAGCTGCTGTGTAAGCTGCTACTGTAAGCTGTTGTGTAAGCTGCTACAAGCTGCTGTGTAAGCTGCTACTGTACCAGATATGGATAATCTTATACTGAGACTAATGTTTATCCATAACCGGGTATCGAAAGGATAAGCTCATTATACCAGATATGGATAATCTTCTACCGGGGGTAATGTTTATCCACAACCGGGTATCGAAAGGATAAGCTTATTATACCCGATATAGATAATCTTCTACCGGGGGTAATGTTTATCCATAACCGGGTACCGAAGTGATAAGCTTCTTCAGGAGGCTTATTTCCAATAGAGTACTCAATAGATAAACATATTAACGGCGGAGTCCCATATGGATAAGCTTCTTCAGGAAGCTTATTTACAACGGAGTACTAAATGAACATCCACAATATAATATATTTATAACAATAATCACATAAATGAGCTCGATTCATTATTTTGATCAAAACTGGACATATTGCCCCCCGAAAAAAAAAAAAAAAAGATCAACGGTATACATTGAAATAATAATGAAAGCCGAACTAACCCGACTAATAGTCAACTGCAACATAATAACCAAATTAAAGGTGTGATGCGATAGCTAAAATCATATCACCTTTTACTAGAGGTGTCAGATTTAATCTCTGAAAATAAAGATTCTGGTAGGGAACGTCATCTCCTTCAATGAGCCTAACATGACACGAATCCAATAGTAGGACCCACTGCGAGCACTGAACAACAAACACGAAATGAAGTAATCAATAAGAGGGTTTTGTGTAAGCAGTATTGATTTATTATAACGATTTGACTTGTATGTATGCTCATTTTGTGAAATTATAAGATCATCACACTTCTTTTCTCAATTTTCGCCCACCTGAATATCAGACCATAGTCCGTCCCCAACTGAACATATTAATAATTAATACAATTTTTTTTTCATTATTTTTTCTCACCTGCAATATTGTGAAAGGGTTATCAGATCGATATATTATGTAGCACACATAAACTCGACCAAATATTTGTCTTTACAACTAACGTATAAAAGAGATATTATAATTGTGAAATTTTTTATTTGCTTTTAATTTGTATTTTTGTAGGTACACTAATGACAAGCAATAACTATGCCATTCCCATTTTCTCTACACTTTTTTTTTCTCATGCTCAAATTAGGCAATTAATATGACATAATTCTTTTAGGGGGGAAATTAAAATAGTAACTCAACCTTTTTGTACAAATTAATTGTTTATCCTAAAATCAGCTTTTGGATGAAACAACCGTGAGTAGCCGAGGGTCTATCGGAAATAGCCTTCCTACCCATTTGGGTAGGGGTAATGTCTGCGTACACTCTACCTTCCCCAGACCCTACTTGTGGAATTTTATTGGGTTGTTGTTGTTGATCAAACAACCGTGAGCACTAAACAACAAACATTAATACAAGAAGAATACATCTCGTAGAGGATTGGATAGCTGCAAACACAAGTATAATTGAGATATTTCTGTTAAGATTAGAATTGCATTGTAATTATTTAACTAGTGTTGGCCCAAGAACAGGTGAAGTTTTGAAGATTGACAAAAGAACTCAGATATGGACCAGGTCCATCTTGTGAAGCACAGTCATGATCAACCTGTACATGTGAGATGCACGTAAAGGAGATAAATCTAACTGATCAAGAAGCAATATCTCCTGATCTGATCGAAAAGGTTGCTTGGATAAGGAGAGAAAGACTCCTTACATGAAGAGAACACAGTTTAGGAAGGAGATAGTGTTAGAATTTGAGATCACCTTGAAATCTTCTACGATAGAAGAGTAGCATTTGAATCCCAGTCAATCTCTGATTACTAACCTATTAAATGTCAATGTTGTTCTCTTTTACAGGTAATGCACATAAGGAGAAGTTAAACTTAAATTGAGAGCAAAAGAGCAAGGCGATTTTGCAAGCAATTTATGTGTGATTCGAGTGTGCAATCCTGAAGCTACTTGAACGAGATAGAAGAACCAGTTCCAAGTGTCTATCTTTTATTCTAGTTCAATTGTAGTAGGTGTTGTTACTTTGTACCTTTCAACTTTCATAGAAGCAATTGTAGGTACCTAGAGTGTTCAAGTTAGAGTTAACTTGAAGTTGTCGCAACAGTTGAGGCTGTGTGCCACAACGGGATTAGAATTAATCCTTAGGTTTACAAAGAGTTTTGTAAATGCTGTTTTGGCTCAGTGACTTTAGTGGAAGTTTGAGAAAATCCTACTGAGTAGTAGGTCGTGGTTTTTTCACCTTTTGAGCTAGGCGTTTTCCACGTAAAAATCCCTGTGTTCTTTGTTTTCTTTATTTATTATTCCGCAAACAGTAGTAGTTGGAACACATAGAAGAACCAGGTCCTTCTATAGTTCAGTTAAGCGAAAATTGGGTACCACACAAATCACCCCCCCTCTTGTGTGGTATTGACGTTTAAAACATCAACTAGTAGCCATATTTGTTAATTGTTCGAGTTGGCTATGGCTATTATTGTAATTAGATAGTTAGACTATTAGTTGATGTCAGGATATTAGTTAGTGGTAGTTTTAGGCAGTTAGTGGAGGATAACAACTGTACAAATACAGTGTCTTGTATATAAACGAATTGATCTTCTGATTTCCAATTAATGAAAATATTTTCCCAATCTGAAGTTCTCTCGAAGCTTCTTCTTCTCCTCTGAGCTTCATCGCTCTCGGCCATGGCAGTTGAGCTTCATCTCAAGCTCTCTCCACATAAGCTCTCAATTTTCACATGGTATCAGAGCGTAGGAATCATATTCTGAGGTAATTCACAATTTCTCACTTCACTTTTTGGATCGAAGAATCTAGGTTTCTTCGAAATTGTTAAACGGTTGAAATCTGTTCAAAACTGAAATTGTCACTGTGATCTCGTCTGATAGCAATGATTCTCAGTAGTTTTAGCCTGTGGCTTTCTCAAAGTGTGACCTCGTTTGATTATCTGTGTTGTTTTTGTTAAATTTCCATTTCTCTCTTTTGATTTACGGTTAAACCATCTACGATCTAAGTAATGGCTGGAGATAAGGAAAATGTTGTAGAGAAGGACAGCTTAGATACCTCGAGTCCCCTATACATGCATCCATCAGAGAGTTCATGTTTAGTATTAGTACCTGTGGCCTTTGATGGCACAAGATACAGATCTTGGAGGAGAGGTGTACTTAGAGCCCTTTTAGTGAAGAATAAGGTTGGTTTCATAACAGGAAATGTCTGAAACCAACAATTGGACATGCAACTTTTGATCAGTGGGAGCGATGTGATGATATGGTAACTTCATGGATTCCAAATTCCCTTTCAAAGGATCTAGCGGATAGTTTGCAATATGTGAATAATGCAAAGGAGATGTGGCAGGAGTTAGAAAATAGGTATGATCAAACCAACGGAGCAAAACTTTACCAACTTCAGAAGGAAATCAATGATTTGAGTCAGGGAACCCTTGATATAACGGGCTATTATACAAAAATGAAGAAGTTGTGGGAGGAGTTGAACACACTGAATGCACACGCACAATGTAGCTGCCAGTGCACCTGTGGAGCTAAAGCTAATATGCACAAGGCTGAGCAAGACAGAAGATTGATACCGTTTTTGATGGGCCTAAATGAGGTGTATACTGTTGTGAGAGGGAGCATGTTGATGATGAACCCCCTTCCAAGCATTGCTCAAGCTTTTCCATTCTCATACAAGAAGAGAAGCAAAGGAAAGTTAAACCACAAAATCAGCAACTAGTGATTGAGTCCACATCATTGAATGTTAATGGTCTAGGAAACAACACCTTTAGGACAAACTATAACCAACACACAAATGCTACCGGGAACAACAGATATGGAAGAGGTTATATGGGAAATAGACCTAGGCCATTCTGTGATTTCAGCAAAGGCCAGGACACACTAAGGAAAAATGCTATAAACTACACGGATATCCTTAGAATTTGAAGTACAACAATGGCAACAGGGGAAGGAAACTAGTAGCTAATGTGTTTGAAACAACAAGTGATGGAACAAACATGCTAGATGAAGGAGGAAATCTTCAGGAGCAAGGTAGAACCATGCAACAATTGAGCAAAGAGAAATATGGACAACTGCTGAGCAAAGAGCAATATGGACAACTGTTGAGCATATTGGAGACTTTTAAGAATGGGAACAATGGATACAACGCAGGAAACATAAACATGACTGGTGGTGCTGTTAACTTTGCAGGTATGACTGCTTGTCACTCATCTGTTGAGTCAAGTAAACAGTCCTATGAAAGTTTCAAAGAAAATGCTGATTCCTGGATTCTTGAATCAGGAGCTACTAACCATATGGCCTATAACAAAGCCTCATTAAGCAATATCAAAACTTTAGTTTACCCCTTCTTAGTCTCTTTGCCAAATGGATACAAAGTAAAGGTGACAATAATTGGAGATGTCATTTTCAGTCCTCTTTACACTCTAAAAAGAGTTCTATATGTGCCTAGCTTCAAATTCAACCTAATTTCTGTTCACTCATTGACAGTCCAACTTGATTGCATCATCATATTCACTAAATTTTCATGTATTCTTCTACATGACCTTTCACTGAGGAGGCCTCTGGAGATTGATAAGGCTAAAGGCAGCCTCTATCTTCACTATTCAAGTTCAGGAAAAAACAATTCTTCTACTGTAAATAAAGTCTCCACCACATCACTCACACACAACTCTGCACCTAGTGCACCCATCTCAGGTAGTCACGGTATCAATAATGTATACTGTCAACACCTTTGTAATTTAGCACCTAGTGCATCCATTTCTTCTCATGATTGTGATAATAAAAGTGTATAAGTCTTCTTGAATTCCAATAAAAGTTCAGACTCAGTGTGCAATGCATATATCTCTAATGAAAATCTTGTGGATTTCTCGTGGCATAATAGGCTGGGCCATGTGCCTTTTATCAAAATGAAGGGTATCAATTCCATACCAATAACCTTTGCAAATAAATAACCTTTTCTGTGTTCCATATGTCCTATGGGCAGACAAACTAGATTCCCTTCCCAGAGAAAACTACTTCTACAACCAAAATATTTGAAATCCATGTGGACATGTGGGGTCCTTATCATGCACCAACTCATGACAATCACAAATATTTCATTACCTTAGTTGATGACCATAGTAGATGTACCTGGACACACCTACTAACCAGTAAAAGCAATGCCCTGCATGTTATAAAGGCCTTCTATGCAATGGTCCAAAACCAGTTCAACACCTCAATAAAGACCATCAGAACTGGTAATGGTTCAGAATTTGTGAACACTGAAACAGCTATGTTTTTCCAAGCCAAGGGAATCACACACCAGAAAACTTGCCCATACACTCCACAACAAAATGGCATAGTCGAAAGAAAATACAAATACCTACTTGAAACTGCAAGAGCATTGTTATATCAGTCCAAATTGCCCCTAAGGTATTGGGGAGAGTGCATTCTAACTTCTATCTACTCGATCAATAGATTACCATCTACATCCCTCAAAGGAAAATGTCCTTTTGAAGTCTTATATAACAAGAAACCAAACTACTCACATCTTAGGAGTTTTGGTTGTCTATGTTTTCCTACAAACCTGAAACCTTTCAAAGATAAATTTGAGCCAAGATCAACACCCCATGTTTTTGTAGGATACCCTTTTGAATCAAAAGGATACAAAGTTCTCAGCCTAACCACAAGGAAAATACATGTTTCAAGAGATGTGATTTTTCATGAATCAATTTTTCCTTTTCCATTGCCAGGAAAGCACACAGATTTGGCATCTAAATGTGAGCATCTATCTCTCCCTTTTCCTCATATAGGACCTAACATGAGTCATGTTGAAACTGTCAATCCTACTACTAATAGTAATAGTGGTGTTCCACATCAACAATTAATGTCACCTGAACTCTCACTTGGCAATGACATTAATGATAACACTTATGAACCTATATCACCATCTCAACCAGACTGCCAAAGCTCCTCCGATTCAAATGGAACCTCCAACACATCACTCGAACCTTGTTTTCACTCCTAGAACCAAGAACAATCCATGCTGAATGATTCACCAAACTCTGCGCAATCTGAGCAAACTATATCCCTAACTCATAACAGACCATAAAGAACACTTAAAACCCCCTAGCTATTTGAAGGATTACATATGCAATGCACCCACTCTTAACACTAATGGTGGGAAGCAGGTTGCAGGTGATACTCATAGTTCACCCTCTTTTTCTTTTCACACACATGTTCCTCGTTTACAACCTGTATCTCTAAATGCACTGAGTAATGATAGTCAGCATTTACTTGAGACTCTTTCTACTGACTGTGAACCTGAGTCATATGAAGAGGCAGCAACCATACCTGCTTGGCAACAGGCCATGAACCAGGAATATGATGCACTTACTCCAACCATACCTGGGATCTTGTTCCACAACTTATAGGGAAAAAGGCAATAGGTTGTAAGTGGTTATACAAAATTAAGCATAAGGCAGATGGGAGTGTTGAAAGATTTAAGGCTAGACTTGTTGTTAAGGGCTATACTCAGCAGGTAGGAATAGATTATACTGGGACTTTCTCACCAGTTGTAAAGATGACTACCGAGCATTGGTTAGCATAGCCACAAAGAAGAACTGGGAGATCTTTCAGCTTGATGTAAATAATGCCTTCCTACATGGAGATCTGAATGAAGAAGTATATATGCAAGTGCCACCAAGGTTATCAGTAGACAAACAGAATTTGGTGTGCAAACTAAATAAGTCATTGTATGGATTGAAGCAGGCAAGCAGGTAGTGGTATGCCAAGTTAACTGAGGCCCTATGTTCCAGGAGATATGTGCACTCCATGCTGGATTATTCTTTGTTTTATAAAAGAGTAGGCAATTCAGTGGTTTTTGTAGCAGTTTATGTGGATGATGTTCTCTTGACAAGGACAAATTTAGAAGAAATTAAGGCATTGAAAACTTTTCTACATGAGACTTTTAAGATAAAGGACCCAGGGAGATTACATTACTTCCTAGGTTTAGAGATACTATACAAACATGATGGAGCAATAATCACACAAAGAAACTTTACAAGGGATCTGATACAAGAGTTTGAATGTTCGCACTGTACCACAATGTCCTCTCCGCTTGATCCTTCGACAAAGTTAAAGGCAAATGAAGGGAACCTGCTCACAGATCCCACTCAATACAGGAAACTAGTGGGGAAGCTGAACTTTCTCACCAACACACAACTTGATATTGCTTACAGTGCTCAACACCTCAGCCAATATATGCAGAGTCCTCGAGATTCTCATCTCAAAGCTGCTATGCATGTACTCAGATACTTGAAAGGTGATCTCGGTATGGGGCTCTTCTTGTCAAACAATGCAGATTATAGATTGAGAGCATTAGCGACTCAGATTGGGCAGCTTGTCCTAAGACCAGAAAGTCTGTCAGTGGTTTTATTGTATTGCTTGGGGACAGTCTAATCAGTTGGAAATCAAAGAAGCAATCCACTGTATCTTTAAGCTCTGCCGAAGTAGAGTACAGGTAGAAAGGTAGTTGCAGAGCTTGTTTGGTTATCTAAACTTCTGGAGGAGCTGACCATACCTCTAACTCTTCCCATTCCAATCTATTGTGATAACCAAGCAGCCTTGCACATTGCAAGGAATCCAGTGTTTCATGAACGGACAAAACATATAGAGGTAGATTGCCACTTTGTTAGGGACAAACTTATTGAAGGTCTGATCTCTCTGCATTATGTCCACACAGACGACCATCTAGCAGACATACTCACTAAATCCTTGACAGGCATCAAACATTCTTCATTACTTCACAAGTTGACAGTGAGTACCTCCCTTCCAACTTGAGGGAGGGTGTTAAGATTAGAATTGCATTGTTATTATTTAACTAGTTAATTGTTTGAGTTGGCTATGGCTATTATTGTATAAGCAGTATTAATTTATTATAACGATTTGATTTGTATTTATGTTCATTGCTGAAATTATAATATCATAGCAATTTACTTCTTCATACTGAATTACTGACCAAATGTTTGTCTCTACGACTAACTTTGAAAGAGAGATTTTTGAAAACAATTTGTTTGATTTTAATTTGTATTGTTAAAAAATGACAAAAAGTGACAGCTGTGGGATTTGAACCCACGCCCTTTCGGACCAGAGCCTAAATCTGGCGCCTTAGACCACTCGGCCAAACTGTCAAGTTGAAATCTTTATGCATCATTTTTATACTTGTCCTAGTAGACACTATATTAAAATACGTCTGTTCAAAAATAAGGTTGTCTCAAAATTAGAATTGTGGGAATATAACCAGGATAGATGATCCGCATTTTATATGGGAAGAACAATTCCATAATTTCGGTTTAACTTTTATTCTGCTTTTACTAATACCCACAATTAAATACTGATCAAATTTAATCCTAAATTTTATATTGGGATAACCCCAAAGACCCTTAATGTTTTTCTTCTATGCAGATCTCTCCTCACTAACCATCTGTATGAAAATTTTCAAATACTTTTTAGGGAAAATGTCCAAAATTGCCCCTCTACTATGGTATAATCTTTTATTTCTGCAACCCGTTATACTTTTCGTTCAAATTTATCCCTACCGTTAACAAAGTTTGCATAATTGCCCATAACTCTAACGACCCTCCACTGTGGCAGTTAATCCCTTTAATTATTTGTCTATGTCAACCGCCAAGTCAGATAGCCTCATGTCATTCACCACATAATGGGTCAAGATCTGGCATTCTTTTTAGATATCAAAAGATATTTTTATCGTAGGCCATAAAATATGAAAAAATGATGTGTCAAACCAATAATGGAATAATCACCGCAGCAAAATAAAATTTAACAGAATGTGAAGCGTTTCACAACTGCAAAAAATGACAATAGTGAAAACCCAACATTAAGTTTAGATCCATGACCAACTATTTGGCCATGGAAGACAAACTTGACTATTTCAGCTACAAGTTCAAATACTGGCTTCAACTATAACAAGTGAAAGTGCTCTGAAGCTAGGTTCCTCAAGGCTGCAGGTATAACATTGAAATCAATAAAGGAAACGGCAAAGGAATTTATATTTTGTGTTCAGAAAGAAAAATTCAGAATGAAAAATCTACTCATAAGTGCATTCTCAATCTTTTTGAAGAGCACAGACAACACAAATATAAAGTGAAAGAAGAAATATTTGCAGTATATTTGCAGTATAGAAAAATTATCCAAAATAGAAAAATCGTGGCTGCTTTATATTTGTGTTAGGGCATATACTATTAACCATGCATTTAGATATAGTATATTCTAATAATTGTCATGGTTAAAAGTCTAAGTGGGAGATTGTTGGGATATATACTATTAACCATGGATTTTGGTTTGGATATAGTATTTATTATGGAATAATTATTTATTTAATTTTAATAAAGTTTTAAATAGATCATATATCCCTTTGTGTCCTTTGCTTATATAGTAGATGATTTAGTGTATAGAGTTTAGCTTATACACGGAAGATTAAACCATCGGTTCTTATAAGTATAAAGATCATGTTCACAATCTAATGATGGAATTGGACAAATCATCAGGAATGATTGTAGCACAAGATTAAATATAATTTATCTTGATTATGGGAATGGTTTAATTCCGACTTCTTGTTCTAGTACATTTTGTATGTATTGAACGGACCAAGTAGAGATAAGTATTTATACTGACTTAATAAAATAAATTCTCTATCCATTATATATACTTATACTCTTAATCTTGAAATAATTATTATTAGTTGTGTATATTATTTATTGTTTTGATTTATTAAAATGAAAAGATTCTTTTGTGGGTCAATATGCCTGGTGAATTGGACAATGATGATATACATCGGCGAAGTAATAATTAGTTGATGGAATCCATGTCTCGGTCTAGCGATTGATGATACACCTTTATGAAAGCTTATAAGTTTTTATGTGTAAACCCTGCAGGTGGATTTTGTATCCGTAACATGAAATAAGTTAAGCGAAAGTCTAAAGGAAATAATCAATGAATTAAATTGTCAGTAATTTAATTTATTCGATTAGTATCTGAATCTTAACATGCAGAGTTAAATAAATTTTAATGGAAGAATTTAGAAATTGAACTGAGGAGTGCAGTTACGAATTTTTAGTTGAATAATTCATAATTTATTATGGTAGTATTAATTCGGACATTTCGAATTAAGTCCATAATAGGAAGCCTCGTTAATTAAATACCGCGGTCCCTGCTGTGACCGAATAATTAGGAATTAAATAGAATTATATTTCTTGGTGGAAAAGGAAGACCCAACAGGTTTAGGAAAATATTTTAAACCCTAAAACCTGTGGCTGTATAAAGAGGTCTTATTCCATAAGGAGGCAAGAGTTCTACTACACGGTTTTCCTAAAGGACCCTCCCACACGAGTTTCGCTAATTCCGGACATTATTCGGGTCACACAGCAGAAGACCGTGGAACTGGAGGATGATCTCGTGGATGGTTTTTGCTCATGCTTGAAGGTCTTTTGGCGATTGCAGTCACGCTTGAAGAGATAAGTATCGATTTTATGTTTGATTAAAATCTGTGATTACATGTTGTCTATATTACATGCAAGTGATCCTGACTATTTGCTTTCGCTGTTCATACCTGTTTTCCATCAATTGGTATCAAAGCCTGCTTGCATCTAAATAGATAATCCACATGTTATATGTTCATATTCAATAATTTTATATGATTCACGATAGAGTGTCTGTCGAGTTTCAACCACGGTATCAGCGATGGAAGTTTTAATTATGTAATACTTGTTCCCAAAAGTGTTATAGTTGTTTATCTTGTTTATATTGTTGGTTCAAACTTTTAGACATAGTGTCTGGTAGTAATTGTTTGGCCTGAAGCAATACAAATAATGAAAGCAAAAAAGAAAAAGAAAAAGAAAAAAGGATGATCGCTTATTTTGGTTATAACGGCGGCGGAAGTTACTCGTTTTTGGGTTCCAAATTGGTTGAGTTATTTTTCTTTCTGAAAAGCTATGTAAGTAATGAAACTTAGTGGTCCTGGTCTCACTGAATTCTTGTAGATTAAGTGTTGGACCCGTGGCTCACAGAAGGTTATAATCATATGGGCATTGTATCTCTGTTTCTTTATTATTGTGTTTAATTAAGAATTTATGGTTAATAAGTAGGTAATATCCAGATAATTTATTTATTGGGTATCATTAAAAACTCTTAAAGTTTTACACATGTGAGATGATATAATACATGGATTGAGAAGTTATGATTGATAAATGGTTATCATTAAGGTGGTATATTTATTTAAAATCATTGAAAATTCTTAATATTTTATACATGTGCAATGATATATACATGGATTGAGAATTATATTTCTGATTAATAAATGGTTATCACTAAGGTGATTTGTTTATTAGAAATCATTAAAATTTCTTAATAGCTTTATACATGCATGACTATATAAACACATGGATTGAGAGTTATGATAAATAAATAGGATCCACTAAATGGTTTATTTATTTGAATCATTGAATATTTTTAATGTACCATGTGTAAATTGTCTTTGATAAGTATAAGCTAGTGGTTATGGTTTATCTATCCAAATTTCTTAATAACACTAAATTAATCATGAGAAGGGAGATTGAGGTTTTCACCCAAAAGGAGGAATATTTAATATCTCAGATTCTCATGTGTATAAAACGGGGATAACTTAATGTAAGAGGAGATTTTGTGCATCTTATCCAAAGAAAGGACATAATCAATGTCACGTGCTCATGGAATAATTATAAGGATAATAGAAAGCATGATCATATTTATTTTAATCAACGAGAATGCCTAAAACGGTAAATCTCTGAATTTGGTCATGGATTTGGAGGTCATGAATTCGATGAATTCAAATTAACCTGAAATTTAGTAGATCCATTAAAAATGACCTGGTGAGAAACACTCACTGCTATGCAGTGAATCACGTTGTTTTCTGGTGTTTCGAGGTCTTTAGATGGGGTTTTAAGCAGTTTATTGGATTAAATAAGCTTTAAATATGAAGAACTATTCTTTATATATCGTTTTTATTTGTGTTAAATCTGGAACATGATTACACATGATGATTTAACTTAATATGATATATGGAAAGAATGTAAATCACATTGGTTGAATCTTAAATTCGCCTATAAAGACTTATTCGAATTTGGACTAGTTTTGGTGATCATCATCTTGACTTGAAATTTGGTGGATTCATCGGAACGACCTGATAAGAAATACTTACAGCTATGCAGTGAATTATGTCGTTTTTCGGTAGTGCAGGGTCATTTAGATGGGGTTTTTTGGTAGTTTGCGGAATTAAAATGTGATTTAGATAGTGAAAAATCATTTTTTTTATGTCAGTCTTATTTTGCTAAATCTGAAACATGATGACGCATGTTTATTTTACGCTAATTGATATATGGTTGGAATGTATGCCATGTTTTAAA